GCCACTTCATTTTTACTTCCGCATTGCATAAGGCTACCATTCTGCCTTCCGAGGTTAAGCTCTACCTCCATCTATATTTGCATGGCTGAAAGATCGCCACCTTATCTACATTTGCATGGCTGAAAGATCTCCGCCTTATTTACATTTGCATGGTTGAAAGATTGCCACCTTATCTACATTTGCATGGCTGAAAGATCGCCGCCTTATTTACATTTGTATGGCTGAAAGATCACCGCCTTATTTACATTTGCATGGCTGAAAGATCGCCACCTTATTTACATTTGTAAAGCTGAAAGATCGCCACCTTATCTACATTTGCATGGCTGAAAGATCGCCACCTTATTTACATTCGCATGGCTGAAAGATCGCCAACTTATTTACATTCGCATGGCTGAAAGATCGCCACCTTATCTTCATTTGCATGGCTGAAAGATTGCCGCCTTATTTACATTTGCATAGCTGAAAGATCGCCGCCTTATTTACATTTGCATGGCTGAAAGATCGCCACCTTATTTACATTCTGGATGGCCGAAAGATCGCCACCTACTGCATTGCATGGGCTGAAAGATCGCCAAATACTGCATCTCATGGGCTGAAAGATCGCCAAATTATCCAAAGGCGTCATCGTTCGGAGGCATCATCTTCATAGCCCGAGAACACCATGTCATGGCCTGAGGATCCCTTTTAATCTTTTGCATATCATTATTCAAAGGCGTCATCGTTCAGAGGCATCATCCTCATAGCCCGAGAGCATCATTTCATAGCCTGCGAATCCTTTATTATACGCTTCATGGCCCAAGACATCATGGTCTAAGGACGTCATTCTAACCGTCCAAAGACAACCTTCATAGTCCGACGGGAATTTGCATCATGTTTAAATTTACGCACCATATATGCTTGTATTGCTTATTTGCAGGTAAACCGGCGAGCAACGGCCATCTCGGCAGGAGCGACCCCGCTCCAGCTCCCGCAGCCCTATCAAACCTTAACCATTCCCCCTAGGGGTATTCAAAACTGATCCGAAACCGAAAACTGAACCGAACCGAAGCTTAATGGCTTACTGGTAACGGCTTAACGGACGGGGAACAGATTGAATTTTTTTTATTAACGGCTTATCGGTTTGGGGGCGAATTATTCAATTTTCTTAACGGAAAATCCGTTAACCCGTTAAGAATATAAATATATATATATAATTTATTTTTATTTATATATATTAAATATAAAAAAACTAAAACTCTTAAAAATGAGTAAGTATAACAAAAACAAACAACCCGTATGTTCTGTCTCCAAACTCTAAAGTCTAACCCATTCCTAATTCCTAATTCTAGAGAAACCCTAAGTCCTAACACCTAAAGCAGCAGCCACCGGCCACCGGCCGTCGACCACCAGCCCTCTCCTCGTCGTCGCCGACTTCCACCAGCCGCCGGTCTCCCCCTCGCCGTCTCGTCTCTCCAGGTACTCTTATTATCCAGGTACTCTTACTTATGAATAAGATTTTTTGATTTTTGCAGGACTTTAAAGAGGAGTATTTCTCACAAATTTCAACTACAGTAAAGGTGCAATCTGAGGCAACTCAAGTAGTTGAAGAAGTGGTTGTTGATTTTGATAATTTTAGGGTTTTCTTCTTCGTCTTCATTTCTCTGTTATTATGTTTTCTACTGTGCAAATTAATCGTATTTGGTTATTCTCTTGAAAATAATGTTTTTCTCTTTTCTTTTTGAATAGTACGTTATTCACATGTCAAGAATATTTCGTTTTGCATTTTTATCTGTGTGTTCAACCATCAATCAAAGAAAGCTAAAAGAACTTCTCGGCCACACCCCATCCCAGGTTTTTGGTGGGGCTTTGCTGGGTATTGTAGTTTCTTGGATGTGTTGTCAAGGCTGTTTAATTTCAATCTGATCAGCTTCCACAAGTACCTGCCAATAATTAGGAATTATCTGTTACAATTGTACAAGAAGCACTGGCTTTTCGATTGATGCTTATATTCAATCTGAATTAAAAGGAAAAAGCATTCTGCAGCCAATGCAATTGGTTAGACCTCTGAATTTGTACTCTGGCATATGCTCAAGCTTTTAGGAATTAATGATCTACTTTTGATTTTGTTCATTACATAGTAGTACTTGATTTTCCCAGGTTAGAGAACTGTATCATTGTAGCTTTTCTCCTCAGTATGGAGAGCATGAGATTCTATGCTTACTTCATCTGTATTTCTTGGTGTAATCTGACTTTGTAGTACATGATGATGAAAAGGATTTGCATTGATGTCAACATGAAAGAGAAAGGATCTCTAGGATAATACAATATTACTACTTTTAGAAACAATAGTCATTTCAGCTCCTTGTGTGTGTTCCACTTTAATAACTAAATACGATTAGTTTACAACTTGATGTCTTTATTCTCATTCCTTTTCTTTTGTTGTTGCAGTGACTCATACATGGCTGAAAATATACAAAGTGATAAGGTGATGATGGGTGAAAGTGGGGCTTCTAATTCAAATGCAACAAGTCAAGCTCAAACAACGGAGTCAAATATAACCAAAAAAAGGAGAAAAAGGTCTGTTGTGTGGGATCATTTTACAGAAATTATTACTTCTGAAGGGAGTACAAAAGCAAAATGTGACTATTGCTTTATTGAGTATGTATTTAAGACCAAAGACGGTACGTCGACACTTCTTTCTCATATGCTTAAGTGTCCTAAACGCCCTGCTATTATTGATAAAAAACAATCAAATTTAGGCTTTCAATCTGCTCCGGGGGGTAGTCAGGGTGACGTAGCTGTTGTTACTTGGAAATTTGAACAAGAAGAATGTAGGAAGGCATTATGTCGTATGGTAATAGTTGATGAGCTTCCTTTTAGCTTTGTTGAGAAAGAAGGTTTTAGAGACTTTATGAAAGTGGCGCAACCTTATTTTCGGATCCCTTCTCGTAGTACTGTAACTAGGGATTGTTTTGATCTTTTTAATGAAGAAAAGCAAAAGTTGAAGAGGTTTTTTATAGAAACAAAACAAAGAGTATGTATTACCACTGATACCTGGACTTCTATTCAAAGAATCAATTACATGTGTATCACTGCCCATTGGATTGATAGTGAATGGAATATGCATAAGAGAATAATTAATTTTTGTCCTATTATTAATCATAAAGGCGATGATATAGCAAACGGTATTGGTAGGTGCTTACGTGAGTGGGGGATAAATAAGATCTTCACTGTCACAGTTGATAATGCAAGCTCGAATGATGTGACAGTAAAAGAATTATCTAAGCAATTAACAAAAATGGGAACTAATTTGATTAATGGTACTCACCTTCACGTGAGATGTATGGCTCACATCATGAATCTTGTGGTCCAGGATGGTTTAAAAGAATCTTCAGTGTCTATTGAACGTGTTAGGCATGCAGTGAGATATGTTAGGCAGTCTCCTGCGAGGTTGAAGAGGTTTCAAGAATGTTTTGATACTGAACAACTCAATTCTAAGAAAACTTTATGCTTAGATGTTCCAACTAGATGGAATTCCACCTACTTGATGTTGCGCAGGGCTGTTGAATTTGAAAGTGCATTTTCACATTATGCTTCTAGTGAAATTGGATTGAGGACATTATCTTGAGCATTCTTATATTGATGTTGGAATTCCTACAGGTGAACTTTTGAGTAGTGATTGGGAGAATGTAAAAAGAATTACAAAGTTTCTTGAAATCTTCTATCTTCTTACTTTGAAGATATCTGGATCACGTTATGTTACATCGAATATTCATTTTCTTGAAATTTGCGCAGTTGCTATCTATTTGAAGCAATTGATAGCAAATGAAGATGTAGTTTTAAGTGAAATGGCAAAGAATATGAAAGAAAAGTTTGATAAGTATTGGGGTGATCCAGGAAAAATGAACAAGATAATTTTTATCTCATGTATTTTGGATCCACGTTACAAGATCGAATCAGTTGGCTTTGCGCTTGTAAAGATGTTTGGTGTAGATCCGGGGGCAACTATACAAGCAGAAGTGACGAAGTACATGACTTCATTATTCAGTGAGTATGTAAAGTCCGGGCTTTCTGGCAGTCAAGCAAGCACCCAAAATATAGGACTTTTAGAATCACTCATGCAAGATATAAAAAAAATATAAAAGTGGGAGTGGAGGTGTTGATACTAGGACAGAGTTAGATAAATATTTAGGTGAAGAAACTGAGGATGACACTAAAGAATTTGATGTTGTTCTTTGGTGGAAATTGAACTCAACTAGATTTCCTATTCTTGCGGAGATGGCTCGTGATGTATTAGCTGTTCCGGTTTCAAGTGTGGCATCCGAATGTCGTTTAGTACGGGAGGACGTCTTCTTGATCCATTTAGGAGTTCATTAACTCCTAAATTGGTGCAAACTCTAGTGTGTCTTCAAGATTGGCTTCGAAATGAAAAATTAAAACAACCCATTAGTGTTGAGGAAGATCTTGATAAAATCGAGCAGCTTGAACAAGGTAATAATATTATTACTATATTTGTTGTATATAAGTGTTGTTGATATGCTTCTATTTATCGCACGACTCATTATTTTAATTTTTTTTTCAGATTTAGCCAGCAATGGAAAAGACCCTTCCGTAATTGACGTGTAGTGTTAATATATTTGGTAAGATTATTCATCAGCAATTCTTTTTCTGAAACTCTTCACTTCTGTGCTTTACATTTCCATTAGTCAGCTGTGCTGGTTTTGGTCAGAAGGATTTGTTGCAAACAGCACAAAAAGTCTAATTCGGAAGAACCATTTTGGTTATCTAACTGAAATGCAATATCTGGTTAAAGCTTCTTCACTTCTGTGATTTGCATTTTCTATTAGTCAGCTTGGCATGTACTTGGTAGACTAATTTCTAGAATGTCAATTCCAGAGTTATAAATGAACACTTGCTGTTTGTGCCTGACACGCTTTTGCTTCTTAATGGTTTTTGTGATGTAGGAGGACCTTTTGGAGTTGCAAGATGAGAAGCTTGCTTCAACTATGAGAGAACACCAACAACGGGCATTCTGCACTGTCTATTAACACTGTCTTTTGACTTTCCTTATTTGTTTAGCATNAAGCCAGGGCACGACCTAAGTCTCCTCGAACCATTTCGTTCGGTCAAAATTGGCCATCATATCTTTACCCGACAACTCTTTCATCCTTCCCAGGTAAAGAGGGGCAGCTGTTGATACCCAATTTTTCCTATATATTTTTAATATGCAAAATACTTTCAAAATAGCATGTGCATGCATCTATAAGTATGTCCAAATATTTTACTATTTTTCCTTAATTTTTAAAGATTTTTTAATCAATTTATTGCCCTATTTTATCCAGAAAAACCCAATAATTATTCCCAAAATTATCATTTTTGTAATTCATTTATTGGATTCTCATATTTATGCTAAAATATAGCTAAGATAATTTTTTTTTTCATATTTTTACAAATTTATTTAGTATTTTAAAAGCTAAATTGCATATAATTGCAATATTAGCCTCCTTTAGATTTAACTACGTTTATATCTATAAACATTAAGTCCAGTATTTTTAATTTGATAATTATGTACTATTAGTTATTTTAGTACCTTTAATTTATTTTTAGAAATTATTTTACTATTTTTTATAAATCAAATAGGGAAAAGTGGCTATTTAAATGTTAGCCCATTTTCATTTCAATTTTAGCCTAATTTGGCACCCCAATTAAACCCAATCAGAGGCCCAATTAACCCGACCCAATCACCGTTTAATCCGACCCAAGACCGTCTTTATAACCCACCCACTCGCCCGCTTTAATCCAGGCCGTTGATCATTCAGATCAACGGCCAACAACAATCCTTACCTTTTTAATTCAAACGACTCCCTAACCCTAACCCCATTTCATACACTCCGCCGCCTCGGAATCCCCTTCTCTCTCAATCCTCTCTCAGACCCTTCTCAAACCCTAGCCGCCGCCCTCAACTACAACCCTAAAATCTCCCAAATCAATGGCTTCCAAGGTCATCGGAGGCCTGTATCCACCTCCTATGGCTTCTACATGCCCGGTTATCATGGTTTCAAGGCTAGATCCTGGAAAAGTTTGGTCTAGGCCTTGGTCGTTTTCAGTTTATAACTGTTCTCCGGTCGTCTCTGACCTTTGTCCGGCCAGCCATGGCTATTCGAGTCTGACTCTTGACTCTCCTGCTTAGATCGATGATTTTCAAAGCCTTTCTCACCACTTGGGGTTCTTCTGAAACCCTAACCTTTAAGGTTCTTCCGATTTCTTTTAGATCTGTGTTTTCTCTACACTTCTAAACGTTTTTCTCATAGTTTCTTCTAAAATTCTACCTTCAAAACCCCTTATGTTTTTCGATTAGGGTTTTTGCTAAGTTATTTCGAAGCTTTCTCTGATTTTTGGCATGTTCTGCTGTGTTTCCTTATGTCGTTCTTCTACTGGAGTTTTCATGTTAAAAGCCTTAATTTTCTGAATCTATTTTTGTTAATATTTGTTTGATTTATTTGTTTTTCATCCCTAGACTTGATTGGTGTTGAAAACCCTAAGTTTGGGTTCATTCGAGTTTCTGAGACTATTTGTTGTGTGATTTACTTGTTCGTCATCTTTGACTTTGATTGGTTTCAAAAACCCTAATTTCGTTGGGGCCTATTCGAGCTTCTGAAGCTACTTGTGCAACTCATCTGTTTGAAGTTGCTCGACTGGATTTGAAATCTTTTTGTTTCAGCATTTGTTTCTTTATGTGATTTTGACTTCCCGCTATCATTGAAACTCGACTATACTTTTTCAGAAGGGCCTTTTTACTTGACCCTTTGCATGCTTCTGTCACGACCCGGATTCCCCACCCTCGGGGGTCGTGATGGCGCCTACTAATGAGAGCTAGGAAAGCCAAATTTAATTACTTGTCCATTAATAATCCAATCCATTTTAACAATTTACAACGATAATGCAAAAGCAACGAAATTCAATAATAAGCGGAAGTCTTAACATTTTATAGAATCTGAATAGAAATGCGGAAAGTTCAACAAAATCCTCTACCCAAGACTGGTGTCACTGTACTCACGAACTGCTAAGATTACTACATATAAACGTCTAAATGAGAACATAAGTTGTTTGTCTCGAATACAATGAGACAACAGATAAAATAAAGGATAGAGGAGACGCCGGTCCTGCGGACGCTTACAAGGCTACCTCGGGTCTCGCTGAAATGAAGCCTGCTCCCACACTACTGCTGCAGCTGCTCGAAACCTGGATCTGTGCAAAATAGGACAGAGTGTAGTATCAGCATAACCGACCCCATGTGCTGGTAAGTGTCTAGCCTAACCCCGGCGAAGTAGTGACGAGGCTAGACTGGACAACCATATAAACCTGTGCAGCTATATACATACAACGGAGTCGAAATACAAGACAAGTAAATAATATGGGAGGGGAAGCATGTTGTGGGGAGATAACAGTATTAACAGTAAATCCAGAGTAACAATCTAAAGGCAGCTTAGAATTTACAGCGGACAAGAGACTAATATCCAAAATAAACGCACTTGTATCAATAATTGTTGCGGCGCGCAACCCGATCCCAATATATAACAACATTGTTGCGGCGTGCAACCCGATCCATATCGTTTAGCATTGTTGCGGAGTGCAACCCGATCCTCAAATATCATTGTTGCGGCGTGCAAACCGATCCACATTATTTAGCATTGTTGCGGCGCGCAACCCGATCCACAAATATCATTCAATGCACGGCATCACTGTTCGTGCTTTAACACTCTTCCTCACCCAATCAACAAATCACAAACAAGGGCAAGGGAATAATAAAACAAGAATGGAAGTCCCGGCAAGGGTACACAAACAAACAAATAAAAAACTGGCAAGGGTACAACATCAATAACCAACAACGTCCCGGCAAGTGAATAAATCATTAACTCTTCTCTTTCTTTCACTTTCATCTCAAATTTCACATTATCACTTGAGCCAATGCTCCAAGGAGTTTCTTATCTCATATACCTTCACAATTTGTATTTCAACCCGAGCCAATGCTCCACGAAGATCAAAGATCACAATCTCTTTCACAAGATCTTTACAACATATAGAAGTCATCATTTAAGCATGGAAGGCATAACAACAACCAAACTATCCGCAAAACAAGGACTCACGGTCATGCTAGACACCAATGTATAGATACTTGTCACCATGTCTATACATCGTACTCGACAATAAGCAAGTTACAAATAAGACTCAACTCCTATTCCCTCAAGCTAGGGTTAAACCAAACACTTACCTCGATGCCTTGAACTCAACTCAAGCCTCAACTATGGCTTTACCCCGTAATTCCACCTCCAATCCGCTCGAATCTAGTCACAAATTACTTAATTGCTTTAATAAACATTAAATGAATCACTTTGAATGCATAAAAATGAGTTNCAAACAACGGAGTCAAATATAACCAAAAAAAGGAGAAAAAGGTCTGTTGTGTGGGATCATTTTACAGAAATTATTACTTCTGAAGGGAGTACAAAAGCAAAATGTGACTATTGCTTTATTGAGTATGTATTTAAGACCAAAGACGGTACGTCGACACTTCTTTCTCATATGCTTAAGTGTCCTAAACGCCCTGCTATTGTTGATAAAAAATAATCAAATTTAGGCTTTCAATCTGTTCCGGGGGGTAGTCAGGGTGACGTAGTTGTTGTTACTTGGAAATTTGAAGAAAAAGAATGTAGGAAGGCATTATGTCGTATGGTAATAGTTGATGAGCTTTCTTTTAGCTTTGTTGAGAAAGAAGGTTTTAGAGACTTTATGAAAGTGGCGCAACCTTATTTTTGGATCCCTTCCCGTAGTACTGTAACTAGGGATGGTTTTGATCTTTGTAATGAAAAAAAGCAAAAGTTGAAGAGGTTTTTTATAGAAACAAAACAAAGAGTATGTACTACCACTGATACCTGGACTTCTATACAAAGAATCAATTACATGTGTATCACTGCCCACTGGATTGATAGTAAATGGAATATGCATAAGAGAATAATTAATGAAGATGTAGTTTTAAGTGAAATGGCAAAGAATATGAAAGAAAAGTTTGATAAGTATTGGGGTGATCCAGGGAAAATGAACAAGATAATTTTTATCTCATGTATTTTGGATCCACGTTACA